GACTGAAAGGGGGGGGGAATTCACAAAAACGACTGGGGGGTAAGTCAGGAGCCAACACAAGTTTTAAAAGAAGTAAAATTTCGTGGGAAAAGTAGGGCTCAGGAAACGACAGGGGGGTGCACCCAAGTCTGGATAGGTAAAATAACCAAGGAGGGTGAAGAACTCAAGTGAACTTGACCCTCAAAGCGGGGGGGACCAGACAAAATTTCCCTGGGTCCTTAAAAAGGGAGCAGAGACAATGTGCGTACCATTAAAAAGATCTTCAACACATCATTTGAAACTGGGGGGGCCCCCAGGGATGGAAGATGGGAAATGTAGTCCCAATTTTAAAAAGGGAGACAACATGAGGCATAAACTACAGACCGTATCCTAACGTGTATAGTATGCAAGGTCATGGAGAAGATCACGGAGAGGTGGTGGAGTACCTGGAAAAAACAAGTGTATAATTGACAACCAGCATGGTTTTAGGGAGGAAAATCCTTGTCACAAACCTATTTGAGTTTATGACAAGGGACAGAAGTAAGACAAGAGAGAGGGGGTGGATCGACTGCATTTTTTGGGCTGCAAGAAGGGCCTTCGAACAGGCCTCACAAAGGTTTTCTGAAAAGTAGAGGATCACACCATAACAGGAAAGGCACTGCAATGGTAAGAGAATACCTTACAGGGAGGCAACAACGGCAAAGGGACGTGATGAGGGGTCCCAAGTGGGGGCCTGTGACAGCGGGGTTCCAAAGGGGTCAGTCCTAGGACCTTGCTGTTCTTGGGATATTGAATGACATAACGGGGGGATGACTCAGAAGTTCCTTGTTTGCGGACGATGTGAAGTTAATGAGAAGAAGAAATCGGATGAGGATCAGGCAGGGCTACAAAGCGACTTGGACAGGCTACAAGCCTGTCCAGCAATGGCCCTTGTTTTAAAAAACCCGCAAAGCAAAGTCATAAGTTGGGGGAAGGGCAAAGAAACCGCAGACACAATATTTTTAGATGGCCAAAATCTGCAAACTCACTCAAGGAAAAAATCTGGGGGTGAGTTAACACCCCAGCTATCCCTGAGCTAACTCAATAAAACGCTGCAGCTACGGGGGCCTGGCAAACTAGTCCCAAGTAGGGATTGTCCTACGAAGAAAGGTTGAGGGAAATCGCCTGACGACACTGGAGGCCAGGAGGGTAGGGGACATGATAACGACATATAAAATACTGCACGGAATAGACGAGGTGGACAAAGACGGATGTTCCAGAGATGGGACACAGACACAAGAGGTCACAATTGGAAGTTGAAGACTCAGATGAATCAAAGGGATATTAGGAAGTATTTCTTCAGTCATAGAGTAGTCAAGCCGTGGAATAGCCTAGAAAGTGAAGTAGTGGAGGCGGGAACCATACATAGTTTTAAGGCGAGGTATGATAAAGCTCATGGAGCAGGGAGAGAGAGGACCTAGTAGCATTCAGTGAAGAGGCGGGGCCAGGAGCTATGACTCGACCCCTGCAACCACAAATAGGTGAGTACAAATAGGTGAGTACACACAGAAACACACAGAAACACACTCACACATACACACACACACACACACGCGCTCGCGCGCGCGCGCACATACGCACACACGCACAGATGCAATGCTTTACTTACAGCTAGCAAAGTCAGGGTATTTCTCCAGAATGGTCTGTAATATACCACTTTGGATAAAATACTTTGCCATTTCTTGAACATTTCTGAGTGAGTTGTTTCTAAATTCATTAATTTGATCACACTCCAGTACATAATGGTGTAAGGTGTGACAATAGTCCATCTGGCAAAGTTTACATTTCGTTTGGTCTACTTCTGGTGGTGGTGATTTAACTTGCCAAAGATACTTGTAACCCAGCCGGAGCAGGGCAGTAGTGACAGCCGGAGCCGGGCGGTAGTGACATCCAAGAGTCTGCTTATTTTGCTGGATGCACCATAGACATGTGGCTCCTCCTGCAAGATAGAATGATGATTGATGGACTGACTGGTGTCAGTCTCCCTAAGTCTTAAGTCAATAAAATTCAGTTGAAGTTCTTTTAGTATTATTGTTCTCAAACTACTACCTGACAAGCCAAGATTGTAATCTACTCCATCTTTGAAAGCATACAGCTTAGCCAATTTATCAGTTTTATCATGCATCCGAAGACCAATGTGAGATGGAATCCACAGCATGTGCACTCTGACTCCACTGTCCACAATCCTACCATACCTGTGTCTGGCTTCTGACACAAGCATGCCACAATTTATACTTAATGAGTTGAGAGCATTTATGGATGACAGAGAATCAGTTACAATTAAAGTGTCAATCTTAGATACATGGACACATTTGAGTGCAAGGAGTATGGCAAACAGTTCTGTTTGAAGGGTAGAGGCCCAGTTATTGATGCGTGCTTTAAGCGTTTCTTTAAGAGAACCATCACTCTGTATGACAACAGCAGCACTACCAGCTGCACCAGTGGATTGGAGAACAGAACCATCAACGTAAATAATTTGTGAAAGAGTGTCCTGTGTGATTAAGCTATCAATACAGCTTAAGGCATCATGTTTGGCTTCAAGACGAAGTTTTGGTTGTGATTTAAGAAGTAGTTTGGGGGGAAATGGAGGAATGGTAGTTTGGAATGGGGTAATATCCCGTGGAGCGGAGAAGTGCCGCTGTTGCCTTACTTGACATAGATCATGTATCTGATTCATGCGGAGGTCGGTTCCAGTTTTTCTCGATCCATCTGGAGGAGTGTTCACCAGTGCTGAGGAAAGTTTGGAGGGCTTCTGTGCAGGGGTTTGAATGGCCTTGCCTGTGCATATTAACCACAAATGCAAAGTCATGAAGATCGGAGAAGGGCAAAGAAGACTGCAGAGAGAGTATAGGCTAGGCGGCCAAAGACTTTAAAAACCTCGCTCAAGGAGAAAGATCTAGTGGTGAGTATAATACCGAGTGCGTCCCCCAGAAGCACACATTAATCAGGTAACTGCTGCGGCATATGGGACGCCTGGCAAACCTGATAATAGCGTTCCGGTACTCAGTAAGGAATCGTTCAAGTCTTTTATACAATGTGTACGTCAGGGCCGTATTGGAGTATGCAGCACCAGTTTGGAACCCACACCTCGTTCCAACACAAACAAGAAATTAGAGAAAGTGCAAAAGGGATGGGCCCCAAATTTTCCCCCCCAAACCCCCCTTTTTTGGGGGGGCCCCCGGGGAAAAAAACCCCCCCGGGGGAAATGGGGGAAAAAAAACCCCAAATGGGCCCCTTTTTTTCCCCCCCCCCTTTTTTTTCCCCCCCCCCCCAAAAATTTTTTTCCCCCGGTTGGGGGGGGGCTTCCCCCCCCCGGGGGGAAAATTTTTTTAAAAACCCAAAAAAACCCTTTTTTTAAAAACCCCCCCGGGGGGAAAAAAATTGTTGGGGCCCCCAAAAATTGGGGGGGGGCCCCCCCCCTTTTTTGGGCAAAAACCCCCCCTAAGGGTTTTTTTGGGGGGGGGGGAAAAAAAATTTTTTTTGGGGGGAAAACCCTGGCGGGGGGGGTTTTTTTTTTTAAAAAAAGGTTTTTTCCCCCCCCCCCGGGGGGGGAAAAATTTGGGGGGGGGGGGGGCCCCCCCAAAAAAAAAATTTTTTTTTAAAAAAAAGGGGGGTAAAGGGGGGCCCCCCCCCCTTGGGGGGAAAAACCCCCCCTAATGGGTTTAAAAATTTTTAAAAATTTCCCCTTTTTGGGTTTTTTTCCCCCCTTTCGGGGTTTTGGGGAAAAAGGGGGGGTTTTTTTTTTTTTGGGGGCCCCCCCTTTTAAAAGGGGTTTTTTTAAAACCCCCCGGGGGGGGGTTTTTTTTAAAACCCCCTTTTGGGGGGGGAAAAAAAAAAAAGGGGGGTTTTTGGGCAAAAACCCTTTTTTTGGGGGGGGTTTTTTTTTTGGGGGGGCCAAATTTTTTTTGGGGGGGAAAACCCCCCCAAAAAATTTTTTGGGGGAAAAACCCGGGGGCCCCCCCCCAAAAAAAAAGGGGAAAAACCCCCCAAAAGGGGGGGAAAAAGGGGGTTTTTTTTTTTAAAAAAAACCCCCCTTTTTAAGGAAAAAAAAATTTTTTTTCCCCCCGGGGGTTTGGGAAAAAGGGGGGGAAAAATTTTTTTTTCCCCCAAAAAAGGGGTTTGGGGGCCCCCCGGCCCAAAAATTTTTAAAAAGGGGTTTTTAAAAAAAGGGGCCCCCCCCCCCCCAAATTTTGAAAAAATTTTTAAAAAAAAAACCCCTTTTTTGGGGGTTTGGGGGCCCCCCCCCGGGGGGGGGGGGGGTTTTTTTTTTTAAAAAAAAAACCCCTAAAAAAAACCCCCCCTTTTGAAAAACCCAATTTTTTTGGGGGGGCCCCCAAATTTAAAATTTTCCCCCCCTTGGGGGGGGGTTCCCCCCCCAAAAAAAAAAAAGGGGGGGGGGTTTTGAAAAAAAAAAAAAAAAAAAAAATTTTTTTTGGGGGAAAATTTTTAAAAGGGGGAAAAAAAAAAAAAAAAAAAAACGGGAAAATTTTTTTTGGGGGGGGAAAAAAACCCCCCCCCCCAAAAAAAAAATTTTTGGGAAAAACCCCCAAAAAAACCCCCCGGGAAAAGGGTTTTTGGGGGCCCCCCCCCCCCCCCCCGGGAAACCCCCCCCCCCCCTAAGGGGGCCCCCCCCCCCTTTTGGGGGGGCCCCTTCTTTTTTTAAAAAAAACCCCGGGGCCCCTTTTAAAAAAATTTTTAAATTTTTTTTTTTTTTTTGGGCCCCCCCCCCTTTTTTTTTTCCCCCCCCGTTTTAAAAATTTTTTAAAAAGGGGTTTTTTTTTTTTTAAAACCTTTAATTTTTTTAAAAAAAACCAAAGCCCGGGTTTTTTTTTTGGGGGGGGTTTTTTTTTTGGGGGGGGCCCAAAACCGGGTTACCCCCCCTTTTTTCCCCCCCTTTTTTTTAAAATTTTTAAAAAAACCCCCCAAAAAAAAACCTTAATTAAAAAAGGGGGTTTTAAAAAAAATTTTTTGGGGGGGAAAAAAAAAAGGGGGGGGTTTTTTTTTAAAAAAAAAAAACCCCCCAAAAAAAAAACCTTTTGGGGGGGGCCCCCTCCCCCCTTTTTTTTTTTTTTTTAAAAAAAAAAAGGGGGGGAAAAAAAACCCCCCCCAAAATTTTTTTTTTTTTGGGGGGGGGGTTTTTTTCCCCCAAAATTTTTTTCCCCTTCCCCCCCCCAAAAAAAAAAAATTTTTTTAAACCCCCCAAGGGGTTTTGGGGTGTGGGTTTCCCCAAAACCTTTCTTAAAACTTCCCCTGTAAAACCATTCGTAAACCCCGGGCGGAAAATTTGTTTGGTCCTTTGGGGCCCTTGGTTTTTTTAATTTTAAAAAAATTTTTCCCCCCGGAAGGGGTCCGGTAAACGGGCCCAAACCCGGGTTTGTGACACCCAAAAAAGGGCTTATTTGGGTTAAAACCCCTTAAAAAATTTGGCCCCAAAGGTTTGAAAAGGTTTTTTGGGAGCTGGGAAAGCCCTTAAAAAAGGGGCAAAGGGGAAAGGCCTGTTTTTTGGGGCTTTTTTTTTGGGTTTCCCTTATTTGAAAACTTACGGTTAGATTGTTCAATTTTTAAGGAAAAATTTTTTCCCGTTTAACCCTAATGTAAAATTTAATTACCCCGATTTTTTTTGGAAAATGGGGGCCAAACCCGGAACCTGCCAGGTTTAAAAAACCCCCAAGTCCCTGGAAATGTAATTTAAAAACCCGGGAAAACCAAGGAAGGGGGTAGTCCTAAAAATTAAATGAAAAAAAAACCGGTGACAGTTTTTTGGGCGGAGAACTTGGAGGTAGTTTTGGGGTTTTTTCCCTTCCAAAATTTTTGAAAGGGAAGGGGCGGTCCAAGGACGGGGAAAGGGTTTGGAGGGGGACATAAGAAAAGATTTTGGGACCCCTTGGTTTGGTTCCCCTGAGGTGGGGAATGTGTTGTGGGAGGGAGGAGGAAGAAGGGGGGGGATGTTGAATTTTTTTGTTTTTTTCAAAAAAGCTAAAATTAAAATGTTTTGTTGGGGTCAAAAGGGGGCAATTTATAGGGATTTTTTCCCTTTTCCGGGGTACGTGGAGTCCGGGGGTTTTTTTTCCCACCACCTTTTTTTGAAAGGTTGAAAAATGAAAATTGGAAAAATAGATTTTAAACATGATTACCCAACCAAAAAGGGATGACTTGAAGAAAAAATTTGGAAAAAATAAGTACTAAACGGGAAAAACAGGGGGTTATTTCCAAAATTTCTGGGGTTTGAAGGTAAAAAAAAAAATTTTAAACTAAAAAATTTTCATTTTTTTGGGGGTTCTCTTTATTAGGAATTTAAAAAAAGGGGGGTTTTGTTTTAAATTTTTTTTGGTTTCCCGGGGCCTGGACCCAGGGGGAAAAATATTTAGGGGGGGGGTTTGGGGAAAAAATTTATTTTTCCCGGGTACGTGAGGGGGAAAATTCCCCTCCCAATTTTTTTAAAAAGTTTTAAAAGAAAATTTTATTAGGTAACTTGGAAAGAACCCGTCCCCGGGGGCCGGTAAGAAAAACGGGGAAAGGATTAAAATTTTTAAAATGTTTAAAAAAAAAATAAAATTCACCCCCCTTTTGGCGCAATTTTGAAATTTTTTTTTTCCGTGTATTTTTGAAAAGCTGTAACCTTAACAAAATAAAGGCATTAAACAAAAAAAAAATTAATTTCCTGAGGGGGAAAAGGGGGGGAAAAGTTTTTTTAAAAAAAAAATATTAAACAAAGAGGGGGTAAAAACAAATAAAACCCTTGTTCGGATTTTAATTTTTTGGGAACAATTTAACCAAAAAACTTGTGTAAATTTTGAAGGCGATTTTTTCCCTTTAAACAACCAAACGGTTTTCAAAAGAAAAACGGTGGCACAAAGTTTGTATTTTTAAAACAAAAAAATTTCCTTAAACTCCTTTTTCCCCTTATTGTAAAAATTTGGGTTTCAAAATCAGGTTTTGGAATTTTAATTTCCCTGTTCATAACCCCCCCTTTTTTTCCCAAGTAACTTTAACCCTTTATTTCCCCCCTCCCCGTTTTTTAATCACCCCATTTTTTCTTTCTGTTGGTTTCAACCCAAAAATATATCCTGTTGGTTTCAAATTATTTTAACCTTTTTTCCCACCCCATTCCCCCCTGTGGGTGGTAGTCCCCCCTTCCCATTCCTGGGGGTGGTAGTACCCCTTACTCATCCTGTGGGGGGGTTGTCCCCCCAAACTCATCCTGTGGGTGGAAAGGTCACCCCTTACCCCCTGTGGGGGGTTTTGTAAACCCCAAATAATCCTGGGGGGTGGTGTTCCCCCCATACTCTTTCCTGTGGGTGGTAGTCACCCCTTTACTAAACCCCTGGGGGTTTGGTGGGTTCACCCCATCCCCAACCCTGTGGGGGGTTTGTCCCCCATACTCTTTTTTGGGGGTGGTATTCCCCCCCTACTCTTCCTGTGGGTGGAAAGTACCCATACTCATCCTGGGGTGGTAGTCCCCCTTTTTCCCCAAATCTTGTGGGTGGTAGTACCCCATCCCCAATCCTGTGGGGGGTTTAGTCACCCCTACCCCCTGTGGGTGGTGGGTAAACCCTTACCCCCCCTGTGGGTGGTAGTACCCCATACCACATTTTTGTGGGTGGTAGTACCCCTTACCCTTCCTTTTTTTGGGGGTGGTAGTCCCCCCATACCCCCCACTGTGGGAGGTAGTCACCCCATCCCCACCTGTGGGTGGTAGTCCCCCATTAACCATCCTTGGGGGGTTTAATCCCCCAATCTTTCCTTTGTGGGTGGTAGTCACCCCATACCCCCCCCCCCGGTGGGTGGTAGTCCCCCCTTTACTCACCCTGTGGGTGGTAGTCCCCCCATACCCTTTCCTGTGGGTGGAAATCACCCCTTACTCATCCTGGGGTGGTGGGCACCCCATACCCATCCTGTGGGGGGGTAGTCACCCCATACTCATCCTGGGGGTGGTAGTCAACCCTTACCCATACTGTGGGTGGTAGGTCACCCCATCTCTTCCTGGGGTTGGTAGTAAACCCCAAAACCCAAACCCTTTTGGGGTGGGGTCCCCCCAAATACCATCCTTTTGGGTGGTAGTCCCCCATCCCCCATCCTGTGGGGGGTATTTCACCCCATACCCACCCTTTGTGGGTGGTAGTCCCCCATACCCTCCTTTTGGGTGGGGTATTTTCCCCCCCTTTCCCCAAACCCCTGTGGGGGGTTTGTCCCCCTTTAATCTTCCTGTGGGGGGTTTGTAAACCCCATACCCTTCCTGTGGGTGGGGGTCACCCCATAAAAATCCTGGGGGGGGTAGTCACCCCAAAACCCACCCTGTGGGGGGTTTTGTCCACCCCTTACCCATCCTGTGGGTGGTAGTACCCCATCCCCATCTTGGGTGGGGGTCCCCCATTACCCTTTCTGTGGGGGGGTAGTCCCCCCAACCATTTCCCCCATCCCTTGTGGGTGGTGGGTCCCCCCTTTAACCTTTCCTGTGGGTGGTAGTCCCCCTTTCCAAATCCTGGGGGTTGGTAGTACCCATACCCTTCCTGTGGGTGGTAGTAAACCCCCAAAAATTTCCCCTTGTGGGGGGGGTAGTCTCCCATCCCCCTTCCTGTGGGGGGGTAGCCCCCCCCTTCCCCATCCTGTGGGTGGTAGTCCCCCAATACTCTTTCCCTGTGGGTGGTTTTTACCCCAAAAATACTCCCTGGGGGTGGTGGGTACCCCTTTCCCCAAACCTGGGGTGGTATTCCCCAAACTATCATGTGGGGGGTTTTATCCCCCCATCACCCTGTGGGTGGTAGTCACCCCTTTAACCCTTTTACCCCCCTTTGTGGGTGGTAGTCACCCCCTAACTCTTTCCTGTGGGTGGTTTTACCCCCAACCCCCCTTTTTACCCCCCAAATTCATTTTTTAACCCCCAACCCACCTGGGGGGTTTGGTTTTTCCCCCCATACTATCTGTGGGGGGTTTGTCACCCCATACCCACCCCTGGGGGTTTTGGAGTCACCCATCCCTAATCCGGGTGGGTGGTAGTCACCCAAAACTTCCTGTGGGGGGTTTAGTCACCCCATACCCATCCTGGGGGGTTTGGGTGGGCCCCATTACTCTTTCCTGTGGGTGGTAGTCACCCCTTACTCATTTTGGGGTTTGGTTTTGTAACCCCTTCCCAAATCCTGGGGCGGTAGTAAACCCCATACCCATCCGGGGGGTTTGGTAGGTCCCCCTTTCCCCTTACTGTGGGGGGTTTAGTAACCCCATACCCTCCTGTGGGTGGGTCCCCCTTTTACCCTTCCTGTGGGGGGTTTTGTAAACCCCTTTTTCCTTTCTGTGGGGGGGTAGTCCCCCCTTTTCTCATCCTGTGGGTGGTAGCCCCCCTTTTCCTTCCTGGGGGGTGGTAGTAAAACCCCTTTACTTTCCTGTGGGGGGGGTAGTCCCCCCCTTACTACCCCTGTGGGTGGAAATTTTCCCCTTTCCCACCCTGTGGGTGGTAGTCCCCCCTTAACCATCCGGGGGGGGGAAATAGCACCCCATACTCTTCCTGTGGGGGTTTAGTCACCCCTTTACTCATCCTGTGGGGGGGTTGTCCCCTATCCCCCCTCTTTTGGGGGGTTTGTCCCCCCATACTCTTCCTGGGGTGGTAGTCCCCCTCCCCCACCCTGTGGGTGGTAGTCACCCCAAAACTCATCCTGGGGGGGGGGTTGTCCCCCTTTATCTTCCTGTGGGGGGGGTAGTCCCCCTTTACTCATCCTTTTGGGTGGTATTTCCACCCCATTCTCCTGGGGGTTGTTTTTACCCCATTCCAAATCCTCGGGTGGTAGTAAACCCCTTCCCCTTCCTGTGGTGGTGGGTCCCCCCTTACCCCCCCTGGGGGGTGGTATTTTCCCCCCATACCCCATCCTTTTGGGTGGTAGTCACCCCAACCCACCCTGTGGGTGGTATTTCACCCCTTACTTTTCCTGTGAGGTGGTGTAAACCCCATTTCATCCTTTTGGGTGGTAGTCACCCCTTACTAATCCTGGGGGGGGGAGAAACCCCTATCCCCTTTTGTGGGTGGTAGTCAACCCTTACCCTTCCTGTGGGGGGTTTAGTCCCCCCTTTCCCTTCCAGTGGGTGGTAGTCCCCCATTTTACCCTTTGTGGGGGGTTTTGTAAACCCCATATTCACCCTGTGGGGGGGTAGGCCCCCTTACTCTTTGGTGGGGGGGTTGTCA